ACGAACATTTTTCTGGAAATGCTCACTTTCCAACAAAATTTTTCTTCTAGAGGTAAACTGATAATACATGTAAAAAAACAAACACCAAAATAATTATTGAACTGATTATTTTGAAATAACGTCACATCATTTAATTTTAAAATTTTGACCCCTCTCGTCATCATCCATTTTCAGAAATATTATAATTAGAAATTTTTTTAAGTTTTTCAGTATCCTCACAAATAACCAACTCCAATTATAATTAACATGTTTTTTACTCAACTTTAGAAGGTATTTCAACTAATCAATAGAGTATGTCTCCAACAAAAAAAAAATAAAGATCGTGTTCCATTAACATCACAATCTGAAAAGAATTGCTTCAAGGTTTGTTAACATCCAAATTTCCTTACTAATGAAAAAATTGAACATTTATTAGTGATTTAAAGTAACGTTGGGAATGGGTGAATAAAAGAAAGTCAAAGATTATTGGAGTCATCACAAACAAAAATTAGAGATCTTAAATTTTGTAGGTAATATATTACTAACATGTTTCTTTCATATAATGAAACGAAAATATTTTGTAAATAAATACATAATGATATCATAAATAAGAGGAATATTCAAGTATAAAATAATAAAAAGCATTCCATTAAACTTTGAATAATAATTTATTATAAAAAAAAAAAAAAAATAGATTTTTGTTTGAAGTTTACATGAACATTATCTGAGTACCCCTTTGTAACTAAAAAATTCTTTCCTCCTTGTAAAATAACTTATATTTTGTTGTCAGGCTATGTGTTTGTTTATACTTTTTAAAAGGATCTTTCAAAACAACCTTAAATTCAAGTAGAAGTTCGTAAAACACGAAAATATTAAAGCATTTGATATTCCATTAATTGCTGAATTTAGATGCTGGAACATGCGATTAAGGTCGTACCAATCTCAATATTTTCATTCGGTGGCTTAGAAATTTGACGAAAATCAGTATTAATTGGTTTGAAGTATTTCTCAGTATTCATAAAACATTCCTTAATCTCTTCAATATAATAAATAATAAGCTTTTGAATGATATGAAAAAGGTTGTAATTTATTTTATAAGAGTAAACATAACAGGTTTAATTTTTATTTAATTTGGACGACATTATTTAATTTTTTTTAAAGTTCAATTTTTAAAATAGTTTTATTGTCTACTTGTTATTATATCAAAAAAATTTCAAAATTTTAATTTATTTATAAATTCTAAAAAAATATGAATATATTCCATTTATATAAGGTAAGGATTTGCCAAAAATTATCTAACCTTTAAGAAATAATTGTGCCATTCATATTTTTAGTTGTTCTATTTGTTTGGAAGAAATTCGAGTTGAAGAATGGGGTGTTGACGTTGCATTGATAGTAAGTTACAAAAGCTCTTGGTGATTCCAAGTTTTTTCTCAATGGTTTCTAAGTGGTTCTCTTGATATGAAGGTTGTGTTTCTAAACTTTTTGAAACTCCGTACATATTTTTCGATTTAAAAGCAGGACCCCAAAATAATTCCAAGCTCATTGACTTACATTATTGATTATGAAATTACAGCTGTAAAATTTCCTAAAAGTATTCAACCGCTGATTTATTCTGGTATTCAGAACAAAGCGAGAGGAATTCCTTTTGAAAGTTATGATCATTAA